AAAAAAAATGCTAACATTGGCCAAAAATATAAAAAAATTATTTTGAGTTAAAAAATAAAAACTTCACTGCACATTTTAAATGAATTGCAAATGGTAAAATATGAAAAAAAATAATAAATTAACTATTTGCTCATCTCCTCTGAGTGGGGCTGAACGATTTTGCCTAAAATCTAAATCGCAATGGTTCTAAACCAAAAATTGCTATAGCAATTTAAATCTGATTTTCCTTTGCACTAAGCCCAAGTTTGTAGATGTTTCACCCCAGGCTTTTGTTGTTTTTTGAAAGCTTGCTTACCCAGACCCCGTGGTAAAAGAACCTTCCTGTAACGATGCTATGAAAAACTGTTTACTTTTACTTGCATGCATGGATCTGTGTGCTAGCTAAACCTCTCTCTACCTTTCTGTGTCGTAACACACCCCCTTCAAGCATTTAATCACCGCCTAAAGGCCTGGAGGGACTAATTAAGTGCCTTACTCTTGTTAAATATAGTGTGATTAAAAATCAGTGCCTCTGCGATTTGAAAATTGTGTTTTGTTAAATTGCGATTATATTGCAAATGCAATTAATTACCCATCACCAGTGTGATGTTCACCTTTAATCTTTAAAGGTTTTTTATGGAAGTGTGGTCTAGTGGTTAGGGAATTCATTTGGAATCCAGAGGTTCTGAGTTCAAGTCCTCCTCCCACAGACTGCTACTCTAGGTCCCCGAGCGAAGACCCTTACACCCACACTGCTCACCGGGTCCCGCACAATGGCAGCACACTGCTCCCCAAGGGCATGGATTAAATGCAGAGAGTTAATTTCCTTGCTCTGCACTTGTGACAATGTAATGACAATAAAGTTGAATTCTATTGTATTTCTATTATATTTTACTTGTCACTAATTTTCCTCCCATGGTAATGCCCAGCAAGCTAGGCTACAGTCCCTATAATCTTACATTTTTGAATAGTATGTTGGACTGTAGACACATTAACATCAAGCTGCTTGGAGAGGCTCCAATAACCTTTAACTTTAACATGATTGTCTACAATTTTCTTTCTAATCTCCTGATATAACGCTTTCCTTTGGTTCTCCTATTCCATGTTGAGTGTTGTAAACACCATGTCACCATACAACACACTTGTAGCACTGTAAATAGGCCAAGCGACTGATTACAATATTGTAGACAGCTGTGATGCTAATTAGTGGAAATGTTTCTTGGTTCATATTATGTTCTGTTCTTTTTTGTTGAGGCCTGTTTAATTAGTTTATTTTTTAAATCATTCTGTTTAAGCATGGTTGAAAGCATAGAAGAAAATTTGGCTTCATTAGTTGGGGTGGGGGGTGGGTTGCAACTCATACAAAAGTTCAGCACGTTTTCTAGTAGATTCGTTCTCTGTATGGTTCCCCCACTTTCGCTTGCATCTCTGCTATCCCTCTTCTGACAAAATGTATGGATGCAAGACATGAAAAACTGGACAATTTGGGGTGCAATAATCCATGTAGATTAAAAACACAGTTTTACCATTTTTATGAGCTTAGATATATAAAATGAGATTCATATATAATACATTTTTTTTCCTTTTTGGATGATATTAATAATATATAACAATAATACATTTGATTTATCAGCACTCTTAATCAAACAAATATACTTTATAAGGTTATTGATAGCTTTAAAATGCGGAGAAGGATCTCAAAGTGGATATGCTGCCCTATGGAGCCAGTGAAGGTGTATAGGAGTGTATAGGAGGGGTGTTACACAGTTCATTGAATGTAACTTACACTTGACTTTTAAAAAAAGTATCTTATGCGTCTCTTTTTTTCACACATCCTGGCTGCGGGTCTAATAACCAAACACACATAAAAACACATGCACACAGGAGACCAATTCAAAGAACCGTGTAAATTAATACACCTAATATTACAACCCTTCTAGATTAAGTGACACAAGAGAAGAAAAATTTACAGTAGCAGCCCCCCCTCACCAACCGTCGTCTTTTGCAGACCCATCTTCTACTCCAAGATCGTAACTCTTTGATGGTTTAGGTTATCTCAAAAATTCAAAACGTAACAGAAAGGAGAAAAAAAATACTTGCAACCCTAAATTCTGATTACGGTAGCGCGTAGGACCTTAGCAGCACTGTGACCCGATTCCATGGCATATCAGATGTTGGTAAAGTGAGCTTCTCAGGAGTGACAGCGCTACTAGCTAATAACACAAGAAAAGATGGAGGGCTAATCAAGAGCTTGTGGGTGGTCTAAACTCAGGGAACCGGGCTTCAGTTTGAGCTGCGGTTTTCCTTTTAATCCTAGTGCTCGACAATGGTCTGTGTACTGTAGCATAACAATGTTTTTAGAGATAAAAAAGTAGAGGGGACAAAAACAGACTTTTGAAAAAGTGCAGGGGACATGTCCCCTGTGTCCCCCCCAAAAATTACATCCGTGGTTGAAATCAAGCTCTAACTTTCATATGTTTCAGATCTTCTTATGTATTCTTTCTTTAGTCAGATTCAAGTTATCTCTATGATTACCGTAGTGTGTGTTTTTTCTTTCCTTAAAGGAATAGTACACCCAAAACATGATTAGCCTTCATTTTCTACTCACCCCCATGCTGAACAACACTCTGGAGTACTTTTTTGATATCTCAAATGCATCTGGAGATCTGGGAGGCTTCTTGCTGTCTGCTGACATTCAAATAATGGAGGTCTATTGTGCCCGAGACAGAAAGGTCCATAAAAGTCCACAAAAACGTGTCAATATTCCCCCATGCTGTTCGTCCAATGTATTCCAAGTGTCCTGAGTGGGTAGCATCCAGAATTTACTCGAAACGAAGTCATTTAGAATGTTTTTAGAGCATAAACAGTAGTGTATAGGATTTCCTAAAAGTGCGTGCCTGCGCGTTCACGAGTCTACGGAAACCGCGGCAGACCAAACCAGACGAAAGTGCGCAGCAGACAGCAAGAAGCCTCCCAGATCTCCAGATGCATTTGAGATATCAAAAAAGTACTCCAGAGTGTTGTTCAGCATGGGGGTGAGTAGAAAATGAAGGCTAATCATGTTTTGGGTGTACTATTCCTTTAAATGAGGGGTACCAACATTATTGTCCATGTGTGTAGCTTGCCTTCATTAGAGCCCTCTGTGTTCATCAGCAGGCGGCATAATAATTTCTGTCAAAACAATATCACCTCGATTAAATATTAATTTAGTATTAGTAATGTAATATTTGATCAAATAAAATGACTAAAGGCTTTACTGGCTGACATTTTTGGATTCCCACATGATTCTATTGGGATTAATTTACTAATAATGCCAGGATCGGGATGGTACGTGATAAAAGTTACTGTGAGCAGACAGGAGCTTGCACCTGTATTTATTGATCTAGCTAATGTATAACATTAATTATTTATCAATAGATTTTATCTAATGTAATAGTACATGAGACACTAAATGCAGCCTTTTATAAGAAGGTATAAGAACAGCAGCCAAAACTCAATTGCTTACATTGCAGTTATCCAAGAACATTTTTTAAAGACTGCTTAAGCAGGACTAATAACTGTACAGAAATTATTTCCAAATCTGCCTAATAACTCTGGGATTTTTTTGGAGACATTTTCAAAATAAAAAATAAGAGAAATTAGACTTTAATTGTTTCCTAAGCTCTTCATCTGAATCTACAGAAAATTTCATTTTCGCATTAGTATTTCATTGCAATGCAGCTGCAGATACACTATATTGCCAAAAGTATTTGCTCACCTGCCTTGACTCACATATGAGCTTAAGTGACATCCCGTTCCTAATCCATAGGGTTCAATATGACGTCGGTCCACCCTTTGCAGCTAGAACAGCTTCAACTCTTCTGGGAAGGCTGTCCACAAGGTTTAGGAGTGTGTTTATGGGAATTTTTGACCATTCTTCCAGAAGCGCATTTGTGAGGTCGCACACTGATGTTGGACGAGAAGGCCTGGCTCTCAGTCTCCGCTCTAATTCATCCCAAAGGTGTTCTATCGGGTTGAGGTCAGGACTCTGTGCAGGCCAGTCAAGTTCATCCACACCAGACTCTGTCATCCATGTCTTTATGGACCTTGCTTTGTGCACTGGTGCACAGTCATGTTGGAAGAGGAAGGGGCCAGCTCCAAACTGTTCCCACAAAGTTGGGAGCATGGAATTGTCCAAAATGTCTTGGTATGCTGAAGCATTCAGAGTTCCTTTCACTGGAACTAAGGGGCCAAGCCCAGCTCCTGAAAAACAACCTCACACCATAATCCCCCCTCCACCAAACTTTACACTTGGCACAATGCAGTCAGACAAGTACCGTTCTCCTGGCAACCGCCAAACCCAGACCCGTCCATCAGATTGCCAGATGGAGAAGCGCGATTCGTCACTCCAGAGAACGCGTCTCCACTGCTCTAGAGTCCAGTGGCGGCGTGCTTTACACCACCGCATCCGACGCTTTGCATTGCACTTGGTGATGTATGGCTTGGATGCAGCTGCTCGACCATGGAAACCCATTCCATGAAGCTCTCTGCGCACTGTTCTTGAGCTAATCTGAAGGCCACATGAAGTTTGGAGGTCTGTAGTGATTGACTCTGCAGAAAGTTGGCGACCTCTTCGCACTATGCGCGTCAGCATCCGCTGACCCCGCTCCGTCAGTTTACGTGGCCTACCTCTTCGTGGCTGAGTTGCTGTCGTTCCCAAACACTTCCATTTTCTTATAATACAGCTGACAGTTGACTGTGGAATATTTAGGAGCGAGGAAATTTCACGACTGGATTTGTTGCACAGGTGGCATCCTATCACAGTTCCACGCTGGAATTCACTGAGCTCCTGAGAGCGACCCATTCTTTCACAAATGTTTGTAAAAACAGTCTGCATGCCTAGGTGCTTGAATTTATACACCTGTGGCCATGGAAGTGATTGGAACACCTGATTCCAATAATTTGGATGGGTGAGCAAATACTTTTGGCAATATAGTGTATGTGACAATCTGGGGGGGAAAAAAATAAATTTTCCTCCCTACCTTATGCCAGCAGCATGTTGGCAGGTAGGTGGCGCTGGTATTGGTCAGGGTGGAGGGAGATGGAGGCAGTGAGGCCTGCTGCATGGAGATGGTCTGATGGTGATAGGGGTGATGAGGCTGAGCAGAACAAACAGCAGCTCCATCACTACTGGGCTCTGCTGCAGCTTCTCCTCTGGTTACCTGGAAAAGGGAAAAAAAGTCTCTCAGCCCAAAACTGAAGCACAGAAATATGCAGAGGGGGTAGGGACACGTTGGTTTGAATGTTTTACATATGTTTAAATGATGCAATATAAAATAGCATATAAATGATCCCTAAAATCCAAACTTGTTCTGTTTAAATTAAATGTGGATGGCATGTTTTCAATGTAGAAGCATAATGTTGATCTTATTGATCACATTTAAAACCAAGTACAAAGGTTCCTGCTTGGATTGTAGTATGTATATAAGAAAATGCAATTCGTGCATACATTTTTTGAACACATTAAAATGTTTCTGATTAATTGTAATGAACGTGCTTAAGTCCCACCCCTAGCGAGTATGTATCCTTGTAGAGTGTTCCCAATAAACTGAAAATGCTAGAAACATTTTCTGATCTTAGGACTCAGAGAAGCTGCTTTTTGCATCATTAAACCACCCGATCCTAATTACCTTATTTGTTTGAGGAAATGTTTCCATGCAAAGAACACTGATGTGAAATCATGAGCTTTAGATTGTTAACCACGTTTACTTGGTCTATGTTATGACACTTGTCACACGTATAAACAATATGGCCCTAATTACTTTCAGTGGGTCCTTAAACCCTGCAGTGACTCTTCTATAAAATCTTACACACCTAATAAAAAAACTGATTTTGTGAAAATGGTTGAGTAAAAATCAGCAACAAACAGCAAATAACCAAGAAAACATCAGATCAAAACCACTTAGAGAGGGAACCTCTTGAAAGTTCACCTTCTATGTGAGTGTGATAGCTGCAGGTTTAACTCTTCCCTCCCATTACGTGGCAAACTTGTGATATCGCCTTATTAACCCATTACCATTCAGTGGCAAGGTCCGCTTAACGTCAAGCAAACATTTAACTCACCAGCTCAGAAGAAAAGCAGCAACCTCTGTGTGCCTTTTGATCCCCTTTACTTCCTGAAATCAGCACAAACCTTTAAAAGCTTGACCGACGCTTCGCTACGTTTTGCTTCTTTTTAAAGTAGTAACTTCTTTCTTTCTTTTGTGCTTCTTTTATTTTTTATCTGTGATTTGTGAAATGTGAACATGTGTGTGAAAGGTGTACTACTACTGCACAAAATTGCCCATACTGGGACAAATAAAAGCTACTGAACTGAACTTCTTTGCTTTTCTACAGAGCTCACGCTTCAACCTAATGTTCATTTTGGTGCATAATCCTTTCATGTTGATGTTGGCATCATAACCAGAGAAAATATCTATTTTCGGTTAAAATGTATCCAAAATAGGGCAGCAACTAACACTTATTATGCTAATCAATTAATCTGTCGATTCTTCTGTCGAGGTCTTTTGTTGCCTTTTACAGGGGTTCTGAAGGCCTCGCCTATTGAGCCAGGCCAACAATTCCCTTTAACGACCCCCTTTCAGAGACATAGACAGGTATGGGGCATTGCAGTCTAACAAAATAAACCCCAATTCCAAAGGGGTGGACCCATTCCTTGGTTTCAGTTTGCATGTTGTCTGAGCAAAAACAAGGCTTTGGCCACTGTATAAAATCTAGAACTCAATGCTATTTCTGACATTTGAATTGACAAAAACTTCCTGGATGGGAAGCAAAACGTCTTAAAACTTGGAAATAAAGTCCACTGAATTGTTTTTGAATTTTTTTGGAATGACTATGACCTGGATGACTGAGAACCTTCACCAGCCTAATCTGTCGATTGTTTTTTCGATTTATTGCTTTATAATTCCATAGCAAAAGGTTCTTTTAAGAAGATTTTATACAGAATTAAACCAGGTGAAACAAACTCTCCAACTTGTGGAGTTCTGGAAAGAGCATATTGACAGGAAAGTTTTCTTATTTATCCTAATTGCCAAAAAAACTTATATATTCTTTTGTTTTTATATATAATTATTGCTATCTGCTTAATCACGAAAATCATATTAATTGTTTTAGCCCTAATCCAAATAATGATTTATATAATTTTTTTCTTTAGTAAAATGTAAACATGCAACTGTTCTATTAATGTGTTATTATTCTAAAACTGAACTTTTTTAATAATAAACTTATCGACATGCAAAAAAAAAAGAAAAGGAAAAAGACTACATGAGGGTTTATGTTCTAAAATCTTTTGCATCACACTGCAATTTTCCTGTTGAGTGATTTAAGGCAGAGGTGAGCTACAGTAACACCCCCAGCCTGTCATTGTTGACCTCTCACCTGTAATTAAGCACTAAGGAAACATGTATATTTGCTTTACCCCCCCCCCCACACACTCACACACAACCATAGTGTTTTTTTGTTTTTGTTTTTTTATCACATATGGGGACATTTCATTGCATTGACTTTATATGGCCCAACCCAGACCCTTTCCCTAAGCTGAACTATTACCAACATATACCCTACCCTAATCCTAATCTAAATTAAATTCAAACCTTAGTCCAAACATAACCCTAATGCAAAGAACAGAACTTTACCATACGGGGACCAGTTGAATGTCCCCATATGTACCTGTAAGTCCTCACATGTAGGATATTTACAAAATACTTCCCCAACATTGTAGGTAGACCAAGAACACCCACACATCTGCACACTCTATCATTTGGTTTTGTTTTACCTCCTTTCTGCTGTGGTCAGGTGGGTAATGAGTAAAGACAGTCATGGGGTTAAAGGACATTCCAGCTCTCAGTGCATTTCTGATTTCTCAAAAAAAAAATTTTTTGTTGAGCTTTTTAATTGACTGTTTTTCTTAAGAGGTGGACTTCCATCTCGATGCAACATTATTGTGTTTTTCGTTGTCTTGGACCATCTTATTTGGAAGTTATCTTTTTTATTATTATTATTAAGGAAAGTTTTAAATCTGAAAAAAAGTTTTTTTTTCCAGAGTTCTTCATATATTTTCATTTCTTCATTTTTTTTCTCTGTGAGAACCGTCCTTCAGAGTCTCTGTAAAGTGCCCTGAGATGATGTGTGTTGTGAATTGGCACTATATAAATAAACTGAATTGATATGAAATTGAATTCTCATCTGATGCAAAATGTTCAAGCATCACAGCCTTAGTTGAAGTTAATTTCCAACATTTAACAACACTGACAAGCCACAGACCTACAGAACCCCTCACATTAAGCACTTTGTCAATGCTGCCAATTCTGTCACTCTTTTGCTCTGTTGATGTCATTCACACCACAGACTTTTCCATGAAGCTGCTTTCACTTCCTTTTACAAAGGAAGAAAAACTAAATCAAACTCTGAAAACATTTCAGTTATTAGTAGAACAGACAAAAAAGGGAAAAATTATTTTGTATTACAAAGATGGATTTGCTAAACTCCTGCACCTGGACAAAATATTCTTTCCCACGTTGATACAGAAATCTTCTCTACTCCTCTTTGGTTTTTTTACTAGCCCTACCACTGAAGCTCATTTTTACTTCAAATAAATCCGGCATCTTTATATTATACCGAGTTAATAACATAGACTGAGCGTAGAAACATAGATAAAATGATTTCTGGGTAAATAAATGGATGGATCAGGGGCGGATCTAGAAAAATATTTATGGGGTGGCAAGAGGGGGGCAGGAATTTTTTAGGGGTGGCAACATATGGCATTTGTTTACACTGAATTTAATCACAGTTATCACAGTTTGGTGAGAATAGTATGTACAGTACTAGTGTTTCATGTGAAACAGTTCATATTAATAATACATCGTACAATGTGATCTCACTTAATAGGAGATAGAAGAATGATAACACTACTTCTAGAGGGGCATTATCACAGGAAAGGTATTAAGGTGAGACACAGGTGCTGAGTAGTAGATGTGTGAGATTGACTGTCAGAGAGGCAGCTTTGCAGCATTTGCACAAGAAGAAACTATAGAAAGAAAAAGTTCCCCATCAGAGATCTATGGACTGAGCTGGACTAAAGTGAGCATAAATACACAGTAGAAATAAATGGGTGAAGGCACCCGAACAAGGTACTGGACATCTATGTAATGTTTACTCTGAACACACATTTACCCCATTTGTTCCTCAGTAACTTGACATACAGCAGTTAAGGCAACATGAAAGGGACATTTCATGCATGTAAATATGCTGTAGATAGAGCTGCATATGGAGGACCAACTCTGCCATATTTAAAAATAAATACAGAAATAAATAAATGCTCAATAAATAAATAAGCATACAATTAATTGCCACCAAAAATACAATCAAAAAATACATGTAATTAGAAATTATATTATAATGGCAGGCAGAAAGAAATAGCGGCGAAGAAATAACTAGGGTAAAAAAATACAAAGGAAGAATAAAACAGACAAAAATATGATAACATGCACATAAATAAATACTTAAAAATATAAGTAATTAAAAAATGAAGTTGAAGATAATAAATGACAAAAAAATTAATAAGGTAAATATTAAAAAGGCAAAGAAATAAAAAGAGTTATATACCTTTATGACTAGCTGTATAATTTAATTTCTACTTACATTTATTTGTTGTTTGTATTTTTGGTGGCAATTAATTGTATGCTTATTTATTTATTGAGCATTTATTTATTTCTGTATTTATTTTTAAATATGGCAGAGTTGGTCCTCCATACTGCTGTATCAACAAATCAACAAAAAGGCGGGTTCTGTATGTTACATCAAAATCTCCACAAATCTGAAAAGAAGCAACATAAAATTACATTTTGCTTGTGAGTAGGTTCATACGGGTCATTTCTGGATAGTTTCATATTATATATACAAAAAAAGAAACAACAACACTGCTTCATATTAAGCAGGATTTACACCAGTATCACATTCTTAACTTTTAACACTTTTGGTTTTATTAAAGGAAATATCAGATGTTCTCAGGTGCCAAAACAAAATGTAACAGCGCTGTAAAAGCTCACCAGAGAGCATAACATAAAGTTAACATGACTATAACAGCTGAATGCAGCGATTTCCATGTTGCTCAGCAAAACGCTTCACAAATTTATTTAGATCCAAAGCCTTTGTGCGTTTTGATTTGAGTTCAACCAAACTTGATAGTCTCTTTTCTGTCATAGTTGACCGCAAATATGTCTTTATGAGCCTGAGACGTCAGGCCTACCTAACATCATAGATAGAGAAATAACGTTCTGCAACCTGACTTTTATCATCTCAAAATCAACATTGCAGCTATGCTAGCAACATTGAGCTTTCATTATGATTTCATTTCTCGATAGATAGTTAATCAATTTTTACCTGTTTCATCCCGTTTCTCCTCTCCCCATCACCCCTGGCTCCCTCGCTTTACCCCATTCGGTTTTCAAAACAATCAGTCTCAGTCGCTCTCGCGTCATCTCGTGCTGCATTCACTGCAGTCCGACTTTGGAAATTAGCGGTCGTAATTCTGAGATTATCCATAATTTATAAGCCTCGCCACCCCTACCGCCAACTGGGGTGGCAGCTGGGGTGGCAAGGCCGTTATTTAGGGTGGCATTTGCCACCCTATGCCACCCCAGTAGATCCGCCTATGGGATGGATGAATAAACCAATGGAGGAAACAATGACTAAATTAATGGATTTATCTATAAGATTTCTATTAATATTTTCTATTATTACCCTGGTCCAAACCTGGTAAATTTGGAATCAAACTCTATACTGTACCACACTTTATTATAATAATTCAGTATTTTCCCAAAAACAACATTCATTATATCACCTAAGGTTCTGGAGCAGCACCACACCTCAAGCACACCTCTAATTACCCAGCAGTATTCCTGAACCCTGTTGACCCAAACTTCCCAGCCTCTCTGATAATTTTCCACCCCACCCTCCCTTACCCTCAAACTGTTTTCAACTATCCCCTCTTCCTCCCCTGTATCCAGAGGTGTCAAGTAATGAAGTACAAATACTTCGTTACTGTACTTAAGTACACTTTTTAGGTATCTGTACTTTACTCAATTACTTATTTTCCCTCCTCCTTCTGACTTCTACTGATTACATTTTCACACAAGTATCTGTACTTTCTATTCCTTACATTTTTAAAACAAACGTTACTCGTTACTCTTGGCTTTGGTTTTATGTTTATAAGTATATATTTCACGTCATGTGCGCCATCCAATCTAATGAAAACTAGTGTCATTGGATGAGTCATATAACGCAAACACTCATTGGTTAGCTAAAGGAAATCATTCATTTCATCAGCGTGAATTGTCTATGCCACGCTACAATGTCGGATTCAGAAAAAGATGTTGAAACGTCTGAAAGGTCGGACACAGGCGAGAGCGATCGGGAGATGGAGACCAACAAGACCTCCCTCATCCGTGGCCCTATATCAACAAATTTTTCGGAATACTGAAAAAATGTAGCTTTCAATTCATATAGTGGCATCTGGCTGTTTTTTTGAAGGTTACTTTAAACTTTTATACTTTAAGTAGTTTTTGGAGCACATACTTTTCACTTTTACTTGACTTTTGACACCACTGCATTTATGTGAATATAAATCTTGCTTTTTAATTGTCACCTCCTATTATAAAGTAGCTGAAGTACCCTTCTGCATCAGCTCCATTTGCTGGATGCCCAAATTTATACCATTATTTCTGCAGTCAAGGGCCACACAAATCGATTACAAGGGCTGCAGAATATGTTCAAGTTTCAATCATCAAGTGTTTAAATCCTGCCTGTATCTCATCATAATCATCATTATGAATATTGGGGGGGCTTTGGCCTCCCCAGGTGACCAAATCTTCACTTCCTGTTCCTCTAACACTTTGACCCTTTTCTTTGATAAACTTTCATATTCAATAGGAGAGGTGATGGCCTAGTAGTTAGTGCGCTTGTGCTCTGAGAAGGTTGCAAGTAATAGGTTCGATCCCCACAGCCTCCACTCTGGGTTCCTGAGCAAGAACCATAATCCCAGATTGCTCCCTGGGCACCACACAATGGCAGCCCACTGCCTCCAAAGGGGATGGGTTACATGCAGAGTGAATTTCTGCATTGTGGGACAGTAAAGGGATTTATTTAATATCCAGGTTTTGTGGAGACAAATAAAGTCCATTCAGGTTAACAGTGTCCTCTCTCCATGAGGACACTGACACCTGACACCTCCCTGAGTAATAACCAGCTGTCCAGCTCTCACCTGGAGGATGTCCTGGATGTGGTCCAGCTGCTGCCTCAGCACCTGTTTCTGGTGGAAGTTGAAGGCCGGGTGGTTGGAGGCCATGGTGAACAGCAGCAGGAACTGCTCCTCAGTCCTGCCGTCGTTCAGTGCCAGCCCATAGTTATTGATCACCGTGTCGATGTGGGTCAGGGTCCGGTACAGGACCCCCGCAGCCTCCCGGTTATCCGTGCCCAGCAGAGCCAGGGAGACCAGGAGTTTGCTGCGAACCACCTCATCCGTGATGTTGGTGAGGCCCGAGAGGTCTGCGGGGTTGTTGGCTTTGATCTCCGCATCCCGCAGAGAGTGGTAATCCTTGCGTGCCAGGTACTCCAGGCAGGAGCCGAGGAAGCGAAGCTCGATGGGGACGCAGAGGTCCAGGAGGCCGCAGAGGAACTCCGCTCTGTGGGCGGAGGTGAGGGTGGAGAACCAGCGGTACACCCCCTCTCTCCGGACGCAGCTCCGGCTCTCCACCATCCTCACACCTGGAACCACCGGGATCAGATTAACCTGTCGGCGCTCACATCAAAGGCACCGAGCGCGTGCGTAAAAAAAAATCTTTGTAACTTTTCTCCAAACTTTTCCCCCCTGTCACTCTTTGTTCCCACGGTGAGGAAAATGAGAGAAGAACAAACGTTTCCTTTGTTTTCTGATCTCTTCCACAATAATCCGGTCGGTTCTCCTGAAGCCTGGCGGCCGGTCCGGACGGGTTTTTGTCTCTCCACCGAGCCCCCCTCCGCCGCTCGGACCTCACACTTCCTCACACTGTTGCTGCAGAAACACCAACTTTCAAACACTTGGTCTCATTTAAGGAGACGTAGAACTGTGCAGAGACTTCGGGGCCGGGCGTCCTCATGGTCCCAGTAAACAATTTCAAGTTGGACAAAGCTTTAAGACAAACCCGGAGCAGCCCGGGGCTACAGCGCTCTGCAGCTGGGAATGGCATTTAGACATTTCAGAGACATTACCTCACCAGACACTGTTGTGCAAAGAGCTCCCACCGTTTAAATAGTTCAGTCTTTGTCAGCCGTTCGCAAAGTAGAAGTTTAATCCTGCCTGAATGCTGCCATTACTTCAGAAAGAGAGGAGAAAAAAAAAACAGCTGTGGAGAGCATTATTCCAGCTCTGGCAACAGGCAGGGCCCATAGAGAGGTATGCTCTCCTCTGATTGGCCAGGCCGCCCGTCTTCATGAGCTCCTGTGTTTTGATTGGTGCAGAGGGGTTTCCGCTACGCTTCTACTCCACATCTTTTCATGGCTCTCTGAAGTACCTCAGATGAGTTAATGACTCTTTAAGGTTCCAGAAAAAAAAAAAAAGCGTTGCACAATTGTCTTAAAACATACAGTATTATAAAGTTGGAAATGTGATGCATTGTCTGCGTGGTTTAAAATAATAGAGATATATGTTTCTTTTTACACCGAGAAACCTTTGGGAAATAAACAAGATTCATTTTGTGCGAAGGTGACATGAATCATGGGGAGGAGCTAGATGGGGGGCCAGGGGTGGCCATGGCCACCCTTAAGGTCCTACCATTTTTCCCCTCTAATACAGACAGTGGAAGCAGTGATACTCTCAAGTGGAATGTTTTAACTTATCAAAATTTTAATTTTCTATATGTAAACAAGTACCTGACAACAAAATAACACTGTGGTTAATTATGCACATCAATATACTAACATTAAAGATGATAAATACAGAATCCATGCTCTTTTCAGAACTAGATTTTGTGTTATATTGGGTAAGAAGATAATTATGTCTCTGCAAGTCATCTAAGGAATCTTCACTGAAATCAGAGATAAATAACTACTTTAACAATAAGTAATCTGCTTAATGTAGATATTAGAACATGTGAATATAAATTTTATGCTGAATGATTATTAATAAAAGTACATAAGTAATGACAATAAATAAGATGTCCGCCCCATAACTAAAAACTGAAAGAATTTTGTCCACTATACCTTTAAGTCAGACAGCATGGATGTTTAAATATATGTGTCTATTTGTTAGCAAAGGCTGTAGGAAAGTATAGTTTGTCTTTATGTAGAAAATATGGACGTGCTCGTTCCTTTTCCTTTTGGAAAAGAGTAGACTGACCCTGAGGTTCTGGCACCTATCCGATTATGGCCACCCCTCAGTGTACATTGCTTATTGCCTGGCCAACCTTATTAAAATTTTCTGGCTTTTCTGAGATTTTGCTCCATGTCAAAAAGATGCTCTGCTCAATTTAAGGGCCAGTTTAAGATTATTCAAGTTTTCTAACACTATCCTGCAAGAAATCCCCATCAGAGCATGTCTACATCTTGGCAAGGCTGAACATGGGTCAGTTTTAATTTAAAGCCTTACTCATTTACTCTGCGACCAAAAGTGGAGAAACATACCCTCTGCATCATTACACAACAACAAGATCCATACTGTCATGTTGTTTACATCAGACCTCACCATTTCAGTGCTTTAATTAAAAACATGACTCGTCTTAAATGTTATTGTCCAGTTTTGGACAGAGTGTGAAAGCTCGAAGATCCTGTTCTAAACTGAACTGGGAGGGATTCTCTCTGGTCTTATGCTGCCATATCTGCTTCAAGTCTCAGCCTGCTGTTTTTTCAGGGATGGTAATCTGCATGCCTTTGCTGCAGCAAGTTATTACCAGTAATAATTCTGCATTTTTACCATCTAAAACTAATCTCCTCATTCTCCTCAGATTTCTAAGGTCAACAACATATTTTCAGTAAATTACAAGGAGTGTTGGCCTAGTGGTTAGAGCAGTGTGCTTGTGCTACTAAGTATTAAAAGTGTGCATTTATGTATATACAGATTATAAATCCTACAGATCTTTAATAACATATTAGCACATTTTAGTTTTGGTAAGATGTTGATACATTTTGAGGAAATATATGGAAAGCAAAAACAGAAAAATAGAGTTTTTTAACATTTTCACTGTGATGTAATAAAATAATTTCTGATGTGGAATAACTTAAGACAGCCCAAACATTTATTCACTGCTTTAAAAATCGCACCTATACAGTATATTTTACAAGGTGAAAATTTTGTTACCAAGCCTTTTTTCTAGGGAGGTTTTCCCTCTTTAAACTATAGACATTCATTCCTAACCCTATCTAAGGGCTTCTAGCAGCAAAAATCAGGAGTTCTAGATGGATTAGTCTGAAATAATACACATTTTACATCATAAAACAAGGTTATGCTTGGTTAATAAAAGAAAAAAAAAGATAAAAACTAGCCTGATAGAATATGAAGCATTTTGCTGCAGCAGCACCTGGTGATTTTAACAGCAAATAATTCCCAATTAGATCTGCCATGTATCAGAGGGTGTTTAAAAATATATTAAAAACCATCAGTGAAAAACAGGAAGCTGAGAAGAAGTGGACTCTGCAACATGAGAGGGACTAAAACAGACAGAAATCCACCAAAAACTGTCTGGAAATTAAGAAGTGGAAAATGATGGGCAATTTTATTAGGATGCTGTGGAGCAACATGAAGAAGGCTTGAATCAAGAAACCCACCAAACATCCCACAGCTGGAAGTGAAGAGTGGATATTTTCCTCAAGCTGGTGTCAGATTTTACGGGGCAACACTGGCTATAAAAAGGTGTCTGAATTGAGGTATCCTTCTCCTCAGTTTATTCTGAAGAATCCAGGGGTGTTCTGAGGTCAAAGTAGGTCTCAGTCTGCCCACTGTTTACATTTTATCACTACTGCACTTTAAGAAATGGAAATGTTCATTTACTATCTGGAAGCTGTACTAAACAAAATCAAAGTTGTTTCGGAGTCTAAGTCTAATGTGACTAAGTATCAGATGGTCGACAGGCTTATCTATTCTCTAAGCTTTTTTTTTTTTTTTACTTAAAATAACGGAGCAACACCCAAATTGCTGCAGAGAAGGTCCCAATACATCTATCTGCCCCTAACCTCTCCATCTTGGCATCAGTCAGGAGCAAGATATTTGACCTAACTTTCTAGTGCAGAGAAGTACTCCCAAACTGGAGAGAGCAGGTCATCTTTTTCTGCTTGAGAAAAATCACCTCAGTATTTGGGGAGTGATATTTTGTACTTCTTAATTCTGGAAAGGTAGCAACAGTTCTGCTGCTAAAATGAGGAGGTGAAATAGAGGCAGTTGTACCACAAGAATGACCCCTGGATAGAGCAGCTGCTAGAAAAAGGGGACCTGAAGAATTAATTCTAAAGAAAATGCATCAATCCTGATCAAAATCTTTGTTTTATGCTAAAATATGTCAAGCATATAATTTTCCAGATAAAGGTTCTAGATCGATTCTTGATTCTCAAACACTGACCACCAATATGCCTTACATATGTTCATTATTAATATCCAACTCCAGATATTGTATATGTATTCATAGAGGCAGAGATAACCTTGCCTTTTAAGCAGGGTTAACTTTAATGCAGAATTTGTCAAATAATCAAGAAAGGAGGCATTCCTCCTTTCAAATGGTATTTCCCGTTTTAAAGCTTTGTCCAGAAGATGGCGCCAGATATCTAAGTTTAAATCTAATCATTCCACACCTGCTGCAACGAGAGTCTTTGGACCCTCAGAGGGGAAAACAAAAACATGCTCAGACAGTTCAACATCTAAATTTAGAAACTCTTGCACCTTCTTTGTCTTCTTCATCAGTCCATTACCTTCTATCTACCTCTCCTCATTACAGACAAAATAGACCACGCCCAACGGCAGAGGCCCCGTCCCCACATCCTGGCGAGGAAAACTCGGTTACGGTTGCCATGGTAACCACGCTCTTCCTTCCCTACCTGCTCCACTCCCTCATTGCATCAGGGATGCTGCAAAACTGCACACGTAAATCATTCAAACACATCCATTCACACACACCCACACTAACACAAACACACAGCAAGATTAAACTAGTCTACAAAAAACAGACAAAAAAATCACAGGAGGCGAAAAGTTTTCTTTGAAACACTTTCATTATTTTCTCCACACAACCGAAAAACAAAAAACAGAGTATTTCCTGAAAAGAAAGAAAGAAAGAAAGAAAGAAAGAAAGAAAGAAAGAAAGAAAGAAAGAAAGAAAGAAAGAAAGAAAGAAAGAAAGAAAGAAAGAAAGAAAGAAAGAAAGAAAGAAAGAAAGAAAGAAAGAAAGAAAGAAAGAAGAAGGGAAGTTCAAACCTATAGAAAGAGCTTGGCATGCTGTTGCATGCTGCAGACTAAAATGGTGGCGTAGGGCCTCGTCGCCAGGCTGAGGGCATACAGCAGAGCCTCAGACATTTTTCCTGGGATCCAGAATAAAACAAAAACCGGCCCCTCAGGCTGCAGGTAGACCCAACCAATTAGTTGTAATAAGTTGGAGAAACACCAGAAATGTACCTACAGCATCATTTCCCCTCAATTCCTCTTTATGAAATGTATTTGGACTGTTAGAAAGAAAGCAGGATAGAAATAAAAGAAAATAAGCTTCAATGTCCTCTCTGCCTTCCTGGAAGTTGTTACTGATGGTATTTAACACAATGTTGAAGAAGAATGGAAGTATGCAGGTAAATATGTAACAGAACAGAAGTAGATGACAGTTTCTGTTTTAAGTCCTGAGCCAGACCTCACCCAGACTTGCTCCTACAAAAAATTTGCAATCCCTCCACCTAAAGAAATACAAAAAAATGTGCAGTGAAAACATCTAGTTGTAATTTTAAATGGACGTAGACCTCTGATGGTTTTTAAAATGATTGAATATGCAAGGAGATTCGATTTTTACAACAGCATCTAAAGATGTGATGGTGACATCAGGAGTACAGTATTACAAGCAGCTGCAGTAGCCTTAAAAACATTTCTTCAGAAAACTTAAGGTGGGCCCAACATAACAGAGGACTCACAGATCCATCAGACAGCATTACCAGTATTTAATAATGCTCGATAGGGACTCCTTCTTTAGGCTTGGATAAGGCCCAGTTGCAACCACCTAGTATGATGAAAACTAACAATGTGATCACTATCAACCTCTTTAGAGTGTAAACATGCTTTTTAAGCACCTGTCTGTGTCCCTAGTCAGTCTGATCTGTAGTCTTCTGCAACCCCATCACTGCACTCATCATTCCACCACTTCTAACCTCTGCTGTCGTTTCCAGATGTTTTCCCTCCCTTCAAGTCAAAGTATCACCGTTACCATCTCTGATCTACTTGTGGACAGAATTGCATCAGAACTCTCTTTTTGAGAGCTGATAGGTCATTTGTCGTTGTTAGTAATTATTTGGAGGTTGTAGATGTTCCAAGTCTCCGAAATGCAACAAAAAGACAATTTAGTGTTCTTAAAATTCCAAGCTGTGATTTGCAGAAGTATTCACACCAGTTTATATGTTCTTTCTTTCAAATGTATGTTACAGACCAACACAATTGGGTAGTGAAAGGAATATTATACATGATGCTAAAAGACATTTAAGATTATAAGAAGTTTTTCTATATCTAAAGGCATGTCTTAAACCACCCAGGGACTGTCAGGGCAAGTACAGTCCGATTGGATGCAGAATTTCTTCAAAAAGTAATTTTAAAGTCTGACCAGAGAATATTGGTAGGATACAGGTCTAGCTTACAATAGGCTATTTTAAAACATGAATACAATTTGATTCAAACCCATCCGTTGAAGGTCTGGCAGTGAATTTAGGTTGGATGCTGCAAGATGAACATCTACCCCAATCTTAGACCCTCTGCTGTCTGTATCATTTTTTATCATGATTATCCTATATTTAGCTTTATGCATCTTCCCTCCTGGTGCATCAGGGGGTGGGGGGATTGTTCTATAACCAGTGGGTTGATGGTTCAACCCGCTGTCTGCCTTAGTTGTTCCTTTGGGCAAGACACCTCGCCCACCTTGCCTGTTGGTAGTGTTCAGCTGCTAAAGCAGCATCACTTCTGCCAGCCAGTCCCAGGACAGCTGTGGCTACAGTGTAGCTCACCACCATAGGTAGTTGAACATGTGTGTGATTGACTGAATGTAGTGTGAATCATTTCAGAGTCCTTGGATTTGAGCAACACAAAATGTCACCTCTATGTTTTCTTGGAGATCTTGGAGCTTCCTACAACACTTTTGGAAAACTACAAATTGGAATAAAGACTCGATAAAGAAGACATTTGTTTCAATGGCTAAAAGTTGAATTTCAAGAGATTGCCTGAACTTCTTCCACTTCTCCCAAGTTCTTCATCTATGCACCTTCTGGCTGCCTCTCTGATCATTACCCTCCTTGCCTGGTGTGCAGTTTGTGGGGAATTCATTGCTTACCGAGTCTGCAGTTGGTCCATGTTCTCTCTGTGTTCACATGATGGACTGGACTTTTGATATTATTGGTAAATGGTCTGTACTAATATAGCACGTTTTCAAGTCAGGAGACTTGACCAAAGCACTTTACACTACATTCAGTCATTTTCCAATTCATTCACACACTGATTGTGGCAAACTACATTCTAGCCACAGCTGCCCTGCGGCTCAATGGCAGAAGAGAGGCTGCCATACACTGGTGCCACCTGGCCCTCTAACCACCATTAGTAGGCAATGTGGATATAGTGTCTTGCCCAAGGACACAACAAGACAGAAGGCCAGAGCCGGGGCTCGAACACAACTCCAATTGCAGGGCAAACTCCTGCACCTGACTCCACTGCCGTCCCACATTATTGAGAATCTAAACCTGCTTTAAAGTGAACCAGAACTATCTCCCTGAACTCTCTGTTTGGTTCTTGGGTCTACATGGTGATGGTTCTCTGATATGCCTCTAACAAATCTCTGAGGCCTTCATAGAACAGCTGGATTAACACTAAGATAAAACTAAATAGTTGGATTCTATTTACTCATAACATGGCAGCAGAAGATAGTCACGTAGGGATGTCCTGATAAATCTTCTTAATTTCCTGCTAATTTTCCCGATACAATATTAGCACAAATCATTTGTACTTCTTTTTATCTCATCTTTTATCTATATATATCTTTTCTCTCAAATAGAACACAAAAGTAAACAGCTACAGGTATAAGAAAGACTGACCTATTTATTATTTACCAATGGGTCACAAAAACATTAGACTTAAGTATAACAGTATTTTTCATTTGCATAAAATAAATATAATACATTTGAAGATGGGAACCTTGAGTTTAATAAGTTTTGCACTCAGCTGCAATGATCTTTTCAGACTTTAATTAAAAAAAATGTAGGATGACACTGCAGACATCGCTGCTACTCCTGTAGCGTAGCGTTTTATGCTCTGTTAACAGACAATGTGGTTGCAATCATGTCGGCCATGTGTGCGGGATACAAGCTCTGCTGGATAAAATACCAAAGCGGAGTGCTTTTCTCATAGATTTTTGATGAATGCCGATATAATCCGATTTTTTTTCTTCGATGAATTCTATTATCAATATAGATATCTAAACATATAGATATCTATAATCTTTTGATGATGCGGTAACATCACAATTTTCCCATTGTGGGACAATAAAGAGATTTTCTCTGGGATTGGATATCTCCAGTAGGTAGCTGTAGTGGACTGTACCCAGGTAAGGCCAGTCAATAGGGAAATTATTCGGACTTTTTCAATCAAAACCCAGGTATTATTCTCCTTCCACTTTACAGGCATGTGTTTTGTTGTGTTGGTCATCAGCATCATACAATATGTCTAAGCTATTGGCTGAAATCTGAGAAAATGTTGGAAATGCTGTCAGAATACTTCTACAAGGCACTGTGGAAGAAGTATTTCCTCTGATCCAAACTTTGTCTGAACTCTTTCATCTCAAATCTGCAACTCAAAGGGATCCCCATCCTCTGACTGACTTGTCTGGAGGTGAACAGAGTGTGAAGAACATACCTGGTAGCTTGTACCTGTAGCTCAATGTGAAAAGCTTTGATAAAATTCATAAGCAGCATGAGAAGCAGCTAAGCTACTTGGAGAACACAGACATATAAAGTGGTCTGTTACAGATCTACATCTGCACACGCTGCGTGGGTTCAGATGCTCCCACATGCACACATGCATTCAGGATGACATGAAAAATGAGACTAAATGAGCGTGGTTGGAAGGAGAACACCATCCTCAGGTCCTGAGCACAAACCCAACACCCCCAACCATCAGTAACAGCAGCCTGGCTTGCGGAGGAGGTAAAAGGCCAGAGGTTTAGAAAGAGGATGGGTGGGTTGCAAAATAAACAATACAATCAACAACATATTGCAAATGAGAAGAGATAAAGTTAATAAATAAATGTAAAGATACAAATGTTTTTAAAACTATAATCTGACAATGAAACAGTCCATCAGTTCTGTCTGGACTGAGGAGTCAGACCAGCTCAGTCTGTTAGGGCCTATAGGAGCTTTGATAAGTCCAACATCTGGACTACCTTAACTCCCTGCAGCCAGGATCCTCCCCTGGGCCAATCTGCTGTCTTTGGGCTCAGCGTCTCCTCCACCCTGCCTGGACCCGGCTCAGCACGGGTTTCCCCCGATTTCAGCCCGACTAAGGCTGGAGCCCTCCTTGGTCCGGATTGGTCAGCCGGGAGATGGAGGCGCAGCAGATCTGCTGTAATACTCTTATGATTTTGTGGTGTTTCTAGCATAGGTAGGTTGACACTGAAATCATTGCCGCCTTTAAATAAAAAAGTGGATAAACAAAATAGCCACTCCGATGTTGAGCAGAATCACCATGACAACCAGGATGGAGCTGTAGGCCTGCGTGGGAGAGAGAAAAGAGAGAAAAGAGAAGGTGTCAGAATGAAGCAAAGCTCACACACTTAAAGGCTGTTTTCAGTTCAGGTCATTAGTTGGTATCCACTCAACATGGGCATGAGTCCCACATTCAATTGGTACTTTTAGTCTTCATTTGATCCATTCTTTTATTCATGGTGGAATAGTTATAAAACATACAGCTGTTAGGATTTCTGAGAGAAAAGACTGAGTGGGTAAGTAGAATTTATGGTCAAATCAAGATAGAAATCCCGAATGTATACCCTCCTATTATTGTTTTTCTAAATGTCTCTTAACAAGAGGCCAAATACGAACACACACTTTCTGGAGCTGCCAAGCTGCTCCTGGAATCATTCCTGCAGGATATTTCAATCACAAGTTCTCCAGGAACTGATGAAATTCATCTAAACTGGTTGGTTTTCTGCACACACCAGACTGTTAAACACAGAGCGAAGTGGGAGCTTTGGGATGAGCCGCTGATTATGATCCTGCTGTTCTTATTGGGGTCAGTGTGCAGCTGGAACACCGGCCTGTTTCAAGGCTTCAACTGTCTTACAAGCATCCAGGTGGCTCATTGCTTTATCCAACTGCCTAGAGCAGATCCACAGCATGATGATTCCACTCCCATGCTTTACAGTTGATACAGTTTTCCTATGCTAAAAAGTCTCACTCACTGTTCGAAATAGACTCTTGGGCCATCATTTCCAAATAGCTAAAGCCTGGTTGTTGTTTTGTTTTTTTTCAGCTGGAGAAATTTATCCAGGGATAAAGCCACTACATAACATAAATGATCAGATCACCCTTAAAATGTCGCAAATGCAAGTGCACTTAAAGTATACTATTTTCAAACCTGAAATTGCTTGTAGTTTAGTTATCAATGATCTACTGATATAAGTTAATGTTTTACCAGAATGTGGCTTATACTAAAAGTGTTCTAAATGCCTATATATATTACATATTACAGATTACATATCACTGGATAGTAGAGAGTGCTAAATCTATTGAGTATTTTATATACTTTGTTAGTTTTGTATTCTTTTATTGTTAGTACTTTTATGTGATTGAATTGTAAAGCAAATGCGATCAGCCTTTATTCCTTTTATGTGCTTTACAAATACATTTACATTGACATCAAAAGTGCTTCAACAGAGTGCAGTTCACCTCACAATTATTGTTTGTTTCTATCATAATTCCGCCTGCATCATGATCTATCTAGCTGTTGATTTAAGGTGGAGTTGATCGGTTTGGTGGAAATAAATCATTGTTCAATCCACTTTCTACTGGTCCAATCACTGGCAGGGAATAGGCCCTCAGTAAAATGCTCCCACCACCATGCTTGACAGCTGGTCCAGTCATACTATTTGTCATTATTATCCAAAAGATCATCCTTCGACAGTTGAATGATAAAACTTTTCTCATAAAGATTTTTGAGTTGTCTATGCTGATAGCGGCAAATTTAGAGGAGAAATGGAAGGTGTCCATGGTGTTTCTGGTATCTAATAAAAAAAGAACTAAAACTATTAATGTTCTCAATGAAAACTACAGCTGGATCAAATCTGCACATGCAACACTGACAGCCAGCTAGTGATATAATAATAAAGAAACTTATAAAATATGAAAAAGGATTCATCTACTATCTGTTAGTTGTGTCGCCTGCTTTCTCCAAACCTTGAAACCTTGAAAATAAATGTGTTTTTATTATACCGGTATATTAAGATACATACACTCCTGCTCTAAAGGGGATGTCTTGTGTAGAGATATCTCAGCAGATGCTTGCTGACAGCACAGGTCGCTGGGCCTTCACCCTGACGACCCGGGCTGTCAGCAAACTCACCAACCACCTGTCCTTTTTTGGATAAATATGAACACAGCAGTCCAGTTCACTCACTAATTTCCACACTATCCTCTATATCCAGTATGACAATTATAGCCTGTTTTAAATACATTTTGGTCTTTATTAAGGATGTATCTGCAGAAGAGCGGTTGTTATAATTAAGGCTAAAATAAGAGGGAGATGAGGGCGATAGGATGTGACTCCATGCAGATCTGTGAAAGGCCGAGGAGCTTCATCGGTGCCACATTGTGGTGGACGAAATATCCCACCCTGAAAGGCTTCTGCTGATCACCATGGTGTTAGGCTTATTAAAGATCTGTGTCAGAGATGATTAACCCATCCAGAGGTTGGATGTAGATCTGATTGTGGTTTATATTCACATTATTTGGTGTTAGCTCACAGCTCAAACCTATCTTGTGTTCCAGTTTTATACGGTAATTATAAGTTACAATTTTGCTAACTTTGCATATTTTTACTCAAACAGTTCAGTTGACAAATAATCAGATACAGATTCGCCGATTATAAAGAGCTTTACCAACATTATTTTTGCTTTCCTTATGATACAATTTATTTTGTGATGCGACCAATGTTGCTTCCATCTCTGTACTTTACAATTGGTATGATGTTCTCTTCTTGTTTCCAACAAATACTAAGTACTGGATTTTTCACACCATCATATGTTAAAGATCTTGGGTTGATTCCCAGATTTTACCAAAAAAAAAAAAAAAACTTGTACCTGAAAAGTAATCAAACCTTCCTTACACCCAGGACTTTTTTTTTTCTTTTCTGTGTTTATATCAAACAGAAAAGCAGTTTCTTTTTACATCAACAGATATATCTCATACAACCTAACACTTTAAATTAATCTGACATGTGTTAACAAAGAAAAGTCTGACTTTAAAGAAAATAATAAAGATGGAATGATAGGGAGCCCTGGGATGGACTGGTGAACTGTCCAGGGTGGGCTCCACCCCTTGACAATAGACTGCTAGAGATAGACACCAGTCCCACCGCAACCCTGATGGAATAAGCGGGGGAAGATGGATAGAAAGATAAAGATTCTCTCTTAATATTCTTAATATTAAATCATATATAAAATTAAACCAAGACATTATAGTGTGATTTCATGTTGGACAAGAAAAAAACAGGGCTGGTGTGTTTATGTAAGGTGAGTATAATATATATATATAAAGTGTAGCTACCTTTTAAAGATGTTGTGATAGTTAAAGATATGCCACTATACAGTGCATTAATCCATCACTTCTCTTTCAGAAGTGAATTCAAGTCTTTGACACAAGAAGTTGCCCCGAGCTTGTATAACGTTAGAGTGTTTTTTGATCCTCAGCAAACATTTTAGAATAGACAGAGCTATTCTAACAATTCCTATAATTCTCATTGAAATAATTCAAAAATAACTTTATCTTCCTCTCACAGAGATTTATTTGAGCTCTTATCATTTACCAGCTTGTCAAGCGAACTGCAATGCTTCCTTGTGTGGTCCACCCAGATAAACCGCAGAGCGGCTGAAAGGCAGCGGCGGGGCAGCTGACCAGGATCAGGGGGAGAGCTCCGATTATGTAAACACACACCTGTTTAGAGCCTCCTATGACGACGATTCGTCGCAGATGCTTCAAAGACATTTTTGTTAAATCATCTCCCCTTTCACTTTTAAGAATGTAGGACTCTAAGGAAGGCTTACAGAAGGTCTGAGTATCATTGGACAGTTGGCAATAGGGCATATTTCTATCCAAGTAGTTATATTATTAGTAACATATTTATCTATAAATGTTCAAATATTTTTAGCTATTCCCTTTTTTTTCTTTCCCCCTCTAAGCGTTGTTTTAATTATGGTTGCTGTGGAGGGTAAAAGGCTCGGTTATCTGGGGAATCATCTTCATGTAAATATGTGCCAATGGGAAGCACAGAGGTTCATTTCTGTTCCATGATGACTGGGTGATGCTCCTGAGTGGACGCAGAGGGGCTCATATTCAAAGCTTTTCCTGCAACAGTGAATGCAAGGAAAACAAAGCAAGCATCTGTTAAGTGTTTTGCACTAACAGTAGGACACTCATTTATTTACTGAGTGACTGGAGACGTGTGTAGCTTCTCATCTGAGTCGGAACAACCCTGGCATTTGCTCCCATAGCGCTCGCTGTTTATTTATTTTGCGTGAGATAGTATTTGTGTATACTGGGAACCTGTTTAACGCAGATCTCACTCGCTTCTTTGCTGATGCAGACACACACACAAACACACACACACCACCTCTCCATCGCTGTCATACGCCTACCGATTGGCTGCAGCTGAAGCAATGCATACGCTGTTCCCTAGCAACAGAGTGCCGGTTAACCAATAAGACACCTCTCTGAGAGGAACAGGCTACTTTTTTATTCCTCTGTTACTAAGGTGCATAGCAGACTGTTTAGGGTTCTTCTCTGTGCATGCATCTTTGCACTGTATATGTCTGCACTAGTGCCCTTTAGCTTCCTGCAGCAGGTAGCAGATTCTGTCCCTTAGCGTCATCAAACTGCTGCAGACAAACTGAGGCGAGCATACATACTAGAGAGGAGGCAGGAGCTTAATTTAGCAGTTTACACACAAGCGGAGTGAGAGTAGGATGAAGTGAAGTTGTGACTTGATTTTTCCTGTTGCTTTCATTAGCTAATGCTAAAGCCGTATTATCTCCAGGGATTAGGGAGTTATCAGAACCATCCACCAGCTAAAGTTAAGACATAACCCTAAAAAACACAAATTAAGAAAATCACATTACAACAGTGTAATCCCTTCTGCTTGTTCAGTGCTACTGAAAAAAAAAAAAAAATTCTCCCTTTAATTCAGGTGGGTGAACGTTGTGCTAGTCCCGCAGGATTATCTTAAAATGAGGGATAACACTTTGTTATGTCACAGTGGACGGAATGTGTTCTCATGACAGCGGGGTTACAAATCCTTTTAGTCAAATCAATGTGTGGTAGTGATGCGACAAATTTGAGAAATGCTTCATCCAGCTGCTGGATGGCTATCAAGCTTTGCAAATATAAACAATACTGCAATGTAAAGCAACAATGAACGTTTCTATCAGGACAACCGGCAGAAGTGGGCTAACCACTGCTCTGTAATCCTACCTTTAAGCTTGTTATACTTTTGCTACACTATAAAGAAGAGAAGGGCAAAAAATATTCAAATATGTACAAAAATTATAAAATAAACTACAACTAGGGGGCACACAGTGGTGCAATGGGTAGACCTGCTGCCTTGCAGCAAGGTTACAAGTTCGATTCCCAGCCCGCAGTCTTTCTGCATGGAGTTTGCATGTTCTCACTGTGCATGTGTGGGTTCTCTCTGGGTACTCCGGCTTCCTCCCACAGTCCAAAAACAGGTTAATTGACTTCTCTAAATTCTCCATAGGTGTGAGTGTGTGTGTGTGAATGGTAATTTGTCCTGTTTGTCTCTGTGTTGCCCTGCGATAGACTGGCGACCAGTCCAGGGTGTACCCTGCCTCTCGCTCATTGACAGTTGGAGACAGGAACCAGCACCTCTCACGACCCCAGCAGGAATAAGAATGACAGAAAATGGATGGATGGATGGATGGATGTTACATCTAATTATTTTTTTGGTCCTTTTATTTATTTATATTTTTGGCACTCGTCAAATCAATTAGCAATGGTTGCACCAAACCATCTTGAACCCCTACTTGTTGTTTTGCAACCCCCTTTTCAAAGGGTCCCGAGCTCTACCCTGGAAAACCCTGCTATAGATTGTATGCAACCAGTGGAATTGGGTCTGCATGTAGGGCTGTTTCACAAATGTGTTTAAGTTCATAAGTTTTATCAATATTTTCCTTAAAGCTACAGTGTGTAATTTTTAGCGACATCTAACGTTCAGACTGCAGACCGCAGCAACATGAACATCTCCCCCCCACCGCTTCTCCCCCCCAACAGTACGGCGAGCGTTACGGGACAAAATGTCTTCCACGACGTCTGCATCACCTACCTTCTCAAGTGATGAGGTTTGTTTACATAGATAATTTTACAGATAGTATTCTCAGGCATAATGCTGCCATCTATTGTTCAGTACCGTCTCAGTTCATCTCTCTCAACTTGCCGTAGTTACTTTCGAGCGTAATGGGCGATCTCGCAATCGCTAGTTTGTTGGCTCTGCGCTGCCGTAGCGCAAAGATGTCTGCCTCCATGCCTGCGAGACCCGCTCCTATGTAATTATAAATAAAGAATTCTAAGGCAACGCAAATATTAAGGTTAAGAGGCTGAGCTCGTAGATGATGATAAATAACATAGTTATGTATAATATATTAGATTTCTGACTGTATAGCCCTGTAATTATTACACACTGTAGCTTTAAAGTCAAAAATAGCGCAGACTCTCAATCTCTTGCAGTGTTCTCTCTCCCAGGGAAGAAATATCAGGAGAAACAAAAACAACTTGACTAAATGAACTTCATTCCTAAACTCCTGCTCAAGTTATAGTCCTGAAACCACATTCAGGACAACAATCTGCAGACTGATCAAAAGCTAAGTGGACCTCTTAGAATTGATTCTTGTAAAAACAGACTGTTCTACAACAGTTCTCTCTAAGTTTGTAGAAATTACCAATTACCAATGACTGCAAACATGAGCATCTGAAAGAAAAGGGCAAAGGTGCCACAGCTCAGATCCATCCATCCAACAAGGTCAGGGCTAAGCTTTCCTGAACTTTGGAGACGCCTCACCTTTTAAAAACAGATGTTATTGGTCTGAAAAAATAATAATAATTACTTAGAAATTATGGAAGTTGATGATTTTATGATATTTTAATGCGTTTACTCTTGTAACGGCTAGCAAGAAACCAATGATGATAGCATGTTACCCCATGCAGACATTACTTGAGTAAAGCAAACTTTATTTTATTGATGTTAATTATTATTATTATTATTAGTTATTATTAGTCTACTAGTGGTTCCTAGAATTTCAGGCTCCTCTCCTGGCTCCTCAGGAGAGGCTCCTCTCCAACTACCAGTTTTAGACACCCTGTCTTCTTTTAAGACTAGGCTTAAAACTTTCCCTTTTGATAAAACTTATAGTTAGAGTGGCTCAGGTTATCCTGAGCTACGTATCTCTATAGTTCTGCTGCTATAGGTTTAGACTTCTGGAGAACATAGGGACCCCTGTTTCATCATTCTGCTTCATTCTATCTCTGTTCTCCTACTCTGCAGAATCTGTTAGTTCAATCTCTAATCTTATGCTCTCTCTGCTTTTTCTCATAGTAGCTTCGCCTCGTCTGTTCCTGTTTGGCTGTGAAGCCATCCTGGAGAGAAATATCAGCTGTGCTGCTGCCATCAAAACCTTTGTGTATAGATGTTCGAAATTGGCCTGTTTTTCAAGTTGGCTTGGAGCTCGTCTGCCTGGCTGTGTCTTTCCTGAACCGGGCCGCCTTTTACAGTTCCATTTTTTTGTCTGCTTCTGTCTCCTTGAACCCCAATCAGCCTCTGCAGATGGCTGCTCACACTTAGCCTGGTTCTGCTGGAGGTTTCTTCCTGTTAAAAGAGAGTATTTCCTCTCCACTATCACTACAAGCATGCTTAGTGTGAGAGATTGCATTCACATCAACGAGTTGATGCAATCAACTGGTTTTCCTTAGAAAGAAAACTTTGAATCAATTTGACTGTATGATCTGGTGAACTGTAAAGTGCCCTTGAGATGACGTGTGCTGTGAATTGGCGCTATGTAAATAAACTAAATTGTATTGAATATTTCCAGCAGTTTTGCTCTTATGCTTTAATTTCCTTGCAATCAGTTTAATCTTATTTAGCATCTGCCTTTCTTGTTTGCCACTGAGCATCCAAGTCGGTTTACCAGTGCTTAGCCTTGGTTTAGCTCATGGCCTACATGTAAATTTTGGTCACTTTTCTTTCAGCCCATCATCGTTGAATAGGTATTATATGCCTCTGTACCACAGATGCCATGCCAGTTTAGCAACCACTTCAGCGTGTCAGTTATCTTTTACTTTATCAAATGCTATATAGGTCCATCCAAGCGCAACATTCCCTGATACTTATAGAGTATGCTACACTATCCAAAAGGTGAGAAACATCAGAGAATATTTCAATTTCAAAGAGCCTTTCAGCCAATAGAGAAAGAGACATTCTAGGGTACCAGATGCAGATTTCAACAATACACCACAATGGGACTCTCACTACCCGATCCGTCCCGGAAGCACAATCCGTACCATCAGCTTATTTGCGCAAGCACAACCTGATATGCATTTAAGTAGATTTTGATTTTATTTTGTAAAAAAAGTCCTAAATTACATTTTCCCGCCCCAAAAATAGTTAAAGCAGGGGTTTTCATTGTTTTCTAGGCCAAGGACCCCCAAACTGATGGCGAGATGGAGCATGGGACGCCCTAATTATATATGTATATTGTATAAAATTGTGTTAAATCAAACTGGTCCTATAGTCACCCTATTACAGCTGGATTAATGTAATGAAAGTAATTTTGCCCTGGGATTATTAAAGTATATCTGATTCGGATTCTGATTCCTCGTTGATGGGACAGGTGAATGAAACGGTGCCCAGCTCCTGTGGGTCGCTGAATGTGTGCATTTATGACTGAATGACATCTTCTGCCTCCATTTATCTGCTTACTACAGTGTGTTGAATTCATGTTAATGTGTATTAGTATACATTTCAATTAGTAGAAAAAATTGCAGTGGGGGAATAAAAAAATAAAAAGTCTAATCAACCAAAGAGCAGTTTAAAAGAGAAAATGTAAAAAGCATCAAAAGTGTCTCAAAAAGTCATAAAACATTTTTAAAGATGTGTATAAGCATTCTTTAGTGAGTTAAGGATAGAAATAAGTACGTTTATTACCATAATTACATTATATATGGAAACTTGGCTGTATATCTGCTTGCGCATGCGCAAATGAGCTGATGGTATGGAACATGCTTCCAGGAGGGATCGGGTAGTGACAAAGACAACAAAGCTGCACAAAAATAAGCATAAAAACAGCTCATAAGTGCCATATTGTCAGCTATGGGGGAAGAGAAATGCAGCTGTGGACCGACCAAACAGTACATAGACAAGGACATTCATAGGGCACATAGTTTGTGTTTTTGTTTAGAAGTCAAAAGCACTTTCCTTTAGTCTAATCTTATGGATTAGATTACATTTGATCAGATGACAGAGTACGTCTGGCTTTCCAATGGTAGTCCCTAAAGTCTGATGCTGGATAAGAGGAACCCTACTAACATCTATAGACTGTTTCAGAATTTAGGTTCTAGGGATATCACGAACTCCAGCCCTAGGAAAGTTTTATATATAAGTGAGTGTCAGAGCATCTTAGACTTACAGAGTTTCCTGTATGTGGCGTGAGGCTGAAGTCCTGCAGATCAGGTATGATGGGGGAGGATTTCAGGGGGGGAGACAGGGTGAGGTCTCGCCGTAGTGGCCGTGAATCCATTTTCTCTCCCTGTCTGTCCCCTGTGTGTGTTGAGTCTTTAGCCCCCTCCCTCCCCTCCCAATTCTTATGCCTCTGTCTTGGCGCGCCGTGTGAATGCCCCTCTACGTGGGTGTGCCCATGCCTTTCCTCCCCATGCCCATGGGGCTTGTGGGTAGTGGAGTCTCTGGGTTGTAAAGGCTTCATCTCTATCTCGTAGTTGCTGATCTTCTCCTCGTCCTGCTCCAACAGTCGTCCCCCCCTGCTGTGCGTTCCTCTGTGTCCAGACGTCCAAGTGGTGGATGATGATGACTCTGTCCACCTGTCTCCTCTAGCCTGTCTGTGATTGGAGCCATGTTCCCGTGTTTTGTGATTGGAGGAGCTGTGTTTGTGTCCGTTGGTCCGGCTTCCTCCTCGACCGCTGATCCCGCTCCCCCCTTTTGACAGCATTCCCCTCCTCCTGTCCTCACTCCAGCTGTTGGCCCGTGGATACTCCTCTTTTGTCCCTCGCTCACCACCCCCGCTGCCTCCCTCCATCAGCACTTGGATCTCCGTGTGCACCCTTTCCCCACCTTTCTCGTTTCTGTCCCCCCCCTCCTTCCCCCTGTCCCCATGGTCCACGGCGGTCTGACGGTGGAAACGGGCGCTCTTGCTGCGCTGTGAAGGCCGAGCAGGTGGAGGTGGTGTGTGGGGCGGTGAAGAAGAAGGTGGGCTGAGGTCGGGGGTGGCAGCATCATTGGAGGGGTCATCAGATGCAACACTTTTTGTGTAAAGATCTGGGCTTTCCGCTGTGCCAGCACTACTCGACAGCCCCTCACCCTCTACTTCACTGGAAACCTGACGTTTGGGACGCTGAACCTCCATACCTGCAGAGACACAGACTGCATTAGACTCCTTAATAAGTGGTTGTCAACATCCATTATTTCCTTTCTACAATGATCTAAAAAATGCAGCAATAACTGCACAGACTGTGCTAGCACCAAACATTTCCCAGTCTGTGTTTGGATCTGACAACAAAATCGAACCCAGTATCTCGGTGTTATTGCTGAATGAAAGTTTGAGTGACGCAGTGAGGAAAGCCCTGCTAGCTTTGCTTCAACGTCTGTGTGACCCAGCCAATGCCTTGAGATATCTTTGTTTGTGGCTCAGCTCTGTACAAACAAACTGAATTAAATGACTAATAAAGAGCTAAACAATTTCCTAAAACCTTAAAAGATCTGACCAGACATCATTTTATTTGTAGTCTAGTCTGTATTTATGGAACCAGTTTGGTATAATGTAAATTATATGATACAAAATTGTCATGTTTTAAGGCAGTAGTCTTCAGCCACACTTCAGAGAGGTCTCTGATTCTTAGCTAAAGGAATTAGGTGGTTAACTTTTGAGACTGAAACCTCTAAATGTATGCTTTAGGTGTTTTGTTCTTTTTCTTGTCTTATATTTAACAGGTACATGACTGTGAGAAGGATTCTGATATTTTACTTTTTCTTCCTGATACATTGTAGTTTAAGATAATCAAAACATGTCAGACAAATTATAAGCTAGAATATAATTAAAAGCAAAATTAATTCAACTTTTAAGATGTCAAGCCTCCCCAAAGAGCCTGGTTTTGTGAAAAAGTTTCCAGTAGTAAACTCAGTAATTAATCAGTCTGTCCGTATCATTCCCCCTCAAATATTGGCGACTTTATTTACCCTCACTTTTTAAAATAGTATTTTTGTATATATACACTATATTGCCAAAAGTATTTGCTCACCCATCCAAATTATTGGAATCAGGTGTTCCAATCACTTCCATGGCCACAGGTGTATAAATTCAAGCACCTAGGCATGCAGACTGTTTTTACAAACATTTGTGAAAGAATGGGTCGCTCTCAGGAGCTCAGTGAATTCCAGCGTGGAACTGTGATAGGATGCCACCTGTGCAACAAATCCAGTCGTGAAATTTCCTCGCTCCTAAATATTCCACAGTCAACTGTCAGCTGTATTATAAGAAAATGGAAGTGTTTGGGAACGACAGCAACTCAGCCACGAAGAGGTAGGCCACGTAAACTGACGGAGCGGGGTCAGCGGATGCTGACGCGCATAGTGCGAAGAGGTCGCCAACTTTCTGCAGAGTCAATCACTACAGACCTCCAAACTTCATGTGGCCTTCAGATTAGCTCAAGAACAGTGCGCAGAGAGCTTCATGGAATGGGTTTCCATGGTCGAGCAGCTGCATCCAAGCCATACATCACCAAGTGCAATGCAAAGCGTCGGATGCGGTGGTGTAAAGCACGCCGCCACTGGACTCTAGAGCAGTGGAGACGCGTTCTCTGGAGTGACGAATCGCGCTTCTCCATCTGGCAATCTGATGGACGGGTCTGGGTTTGGCGGTTGCCAGGAGAACGGTACTTGTCTGACTGCATTGTGCCAAGTGTAAAGTTTGGTGGAGGGGGGATTATGGTGTGAGGTTGTTTTTCAGGAGCTGGGCTTGGCCCCTTAGTTCCAGTGAAAGGAACTCTGAATGCTTCAGCATACCAAGACATTTTGGACAATTCCATGCTCCCAACTTTGTGGGAACAGTTTGGAGCTGGCCCCTTCCTCTTCCAACATGACTGTGCACCAGTGCACAAAGCAAGGTCCATAAAGACATGGATGACAGAGTCTGGTGTGGATGAACTTGACTGGCCTGCACAGAGTCCTGACCTCAACCCGATAGAACACCTTTGGGATGAATTAGAGCGGAGACTGAGAGCCAGGCCTTCTCGTCCAACATCAGTGTGCGACCTCACAAATGCGCTTCTGGAAGAATGGTCAAAAATTCCCATAAACACACTCCTAAACCTTGTGGACAGCCTTCCCAGAAGAGTTGAAGCTGTTCTAGCTGCAAAGGGTGGACCGACGTCATATTGAACCCTATGGATTAGGAACGGGATGTCACTTAAGCTCATATGTGAGTCAAGGCAGGTGAGCAAATACTTTTGGCAATATAGTGTATATATATATATATATATATATATATATATATATATATATATATATATATATATATATATATATATATATATATATATATATATATATATATATATATATATATATATATATATACAGTGGGGCAAAAAAGTATTTAGTCAGCCACCAATAGTGCAAGTTCTCCCACTCAAAAAGATGAGAGAGGCCGGTAATTTTCATCATAGATATACCTCAACTATGAGAGACAAAATGAGAAAAAAAAATCACATTGTCTGATTTTTAAAGAATTTATTTGCAAAATATGGTGGAAAATAAGTATTGGTCAGTTACAAACAAGCAAGATTTCTGGCTCTCACAAACCTGTAATTTCTTCTGTAAGAGGTCACACTTTAAACTCCACCATGGCCAAAACTAGAGAGCTGTCAAAGGACACCCGAAACAAAATTATAGACCTGCACCAGGCTGGGAAGTCTGAATCTGCAATAGGTAAACAGCTTGGTGTGAAGAAATCAACTGTGGGATCAATTATTAGAAAATGGAAAACATACAAGACCACTGATAATCTTCCTCGATCTGGGGCTCCACGCAAGATCTCACCCCGTGGGGTCAAAATGATCACAAGAACGGTGAGTAAAAATCCCAGAACCACACAGGGGGACCTAGTGAATGACCTGCAGAGAGCTGGGACCAAAGTAACAAAGGCTACCATCAGTAACACACTACGCCGCCAGGGACTCAAATCCTGCAGTGCCAGACGTGTCCCCCTGCTTAAGCCAGTACATGTCAAGGCCCGACTCAAGTTTGCTAGAGAGCATTTGGATGATCCAGACGATGACTGGGAGAATATCATATCGTCAGATGAAACCAAAATAGAACTTTTTGGTAAAAACTCTACTCGTCGTGTTTGGAGGAGAGAGAATGCTGAGTTGCATCCAAAGAACACCATACCTACAGTGAAGCATTGGGGTGGAAACATCATGCTTTGGGGCTGTTTTTCTGCTAAGGGACCAGGACGACTGATCCGTGTGAAGGAAAGAATGAATGGGGCCATGTATCCTTCCATCAGCAAGGGCATTGAAGATGAAACGTGGCTGGGTCTTTCAGCATGACAATGATCCCAAACACACCACCCGGGTAATGAAGGAGTGGCTTCGTAAGAAGCATTTCAAGGTCCTGGAGTGGCCTAGCCAGTCTCCAGATCTCAACCCCATAGAAAATCTTTGGAGGGAGTTGAAAGTCCGTGTTGCCCAGCGACAGCCCAGAACATCACTGCTCTAGAGGAGATCTGCATGGAGGAATGGGCCAAAATACCAGCAACAGTGTGTGAAAACCTTGTGAAGACTTACAGAAAACGTTTGATCTCTGTCATTGCCAACAAAGGGTATATAACAAAGTATTGAGATGAACTTTTGTTATTGACCAAATACTTATTTTCCACCATATTTTGCAAATAAATTCTTTAAAAATCAGACTATATATATATATATATATATATATATATATATATATATATATATATATATATATATATATATATATATATATATATATATATTTATTTTATTTTTTTATCAGTTAAAAAAAGCTGTTGGGTACATGAGGAAGATGATGTCCGGCCAGTCCAAACAAACAATGCTGCTAAATGCCAGAGCTGATGCTTGTTGGCATACATGTTCTCCCATAAACACAGGCGGCATTTTTTTAGCACAATGATGAAACAGAGTTGAAAAGATGGCAGAGTTTTGCACCAGTCATCCTGTCTTTGTGTGCGGGTGTGTCATGATGCATGGTCCTTATGCGACGGCTACCTGCAGAGCTCCATAGGTGTGACTGACAGACATGGAAACACAAAGCTGGAGGGTGGCCGTCATTGACCTTTAGCATCAACCTCCCCCCAGCCGCCACATATAAGATATCAACACGTGTTTGGTTTGTTCACATGAGTGTTAGCACACGCAGTGTTAGGTAAGTCTGCAAGGCTACATATAGGGTGCTTGTCTTCTGTTTCTGCTTTTTGGACACTCTCAAATGTTTTACATTATCAAAAAGATTTATTACAGAAGTGATGCATCGATGATCTAATCCTCTAAGGGTAAAATTGTTGATTTCCCCACCTTTCATAAGGTCACTATAAGGCTAGACTTCTGTAACACGTTTATAAACATGACATGAAGTAGGCTAGAAGATCTCAGAAAGCAACACGCCATGCTCTGATTTACAGTACAACAAGTCTACAACTGATCAGAGACAAAGTCGCTGACATCTATCAGTCAGGAGAGGCTTATATACCCCAGTGAACCTCTGTAAGAACATTAAATAGAGAAAAGGTAAATTATAGGATTTGTTGGTCTTTGTTGGTCAAAATTCCTCGATCATATTGAAATTTATTTGGCTTCAAAGAGGAAGAGTCAGCTGAATACACATTTATATAATTGAAAAACAAATAATCCCATTGACTCATTCAGTGACTCATTGAGAAGATTACTGAACAATCCAGAACAAAATCTGAAGCTCTGCTTCTGGCAAAAAAGGACTAAAGTGGAACCTTTTGGAAGGTGTATCTCCACCAACAGACAAGCATGATTGTGGTAGTTTCATAATGTGTTGCAGTTTTTTAATTGCTGCTAATGATGTAACTATGAGCTTGCTCTCTAGCAAAAAATAGAGAAGCAGAATCTCCTATGAAGAATCTCAAGAGAATCATTTAGAGCAAACCAGCAAGTCCAGCTTAGAATGGCCCAACACAACAAGGTCCAGGCCTGATCAAGGTGTTGTGGTTGTTTGAGTTTGAACATCTTCTAAATAAAATAATTTAGCATGGAAAAGACAATTGATTGATGTTAAAGACTCATTGCTTATCATCACAAATGCTTCACGGCAGCTGTTAGAATCATTTACTCAGTTTAAGGGGGCAATTACTTTTCCATCAGGACCAGGTCATTACTTTTACCCTCAATGAATTAAATCATGACTTTGTTGTTTTTGTTTTTGCATTGCTTAACTTATCTTTTCTTTATCTTTTTTTTATTATCAAAATTAGCTTGATCTGAAAATCTGGGTTAAAAAACTGTATTGTTACTAAATACAAAATAAATAAAAAATATCCACAATTTAAAGCAAATTTGAAACTGAATCAGTTAAAGGTATAGTGGAGGATTTTTAACATTTTTTTTTTCAAAAGAACCACCCTCTCCTCTTAAAAAAACAGATGCACAACCCTGTACCTGCTTCCGAGAGGGAACACCTTTTAAACATGTGTAAGAACATGCACGAGCCCATTTCTCCTTGTGTACAAACTGTTTAAAAGTTGCTGTTTGCATCGCTCATACAAGCTTACTTTCCAAAAAAAGATTTTTCCACTATGTCAGAATCTGAAGAAGCATGGGAGGGTGCAAATAGTTTAGAACTTTCTTACAGCACTGTACATAAAGGGTAAATGCTTGGCTTCAAGGGAGAAACGTTCTGATTTTGGTAATGCTCTGTGTACATGTGGTTGTGAGCCCACCATTTCCAGGGTGTTGGAAGGATGGGGAGAACTGCTTGGCGGTGACCCTCGCCATTCGACTCTCCTCATGAGCTTTCTGGGCGGCTCCCACCGCTGCCTCTGCTTTACCCTGGGCATGAGCCGTCCTACAACAAACAAACACAAAAATTCAAAATACAGCAACAGAAATAAAATCAGAAACATATCACTGGCTCTGGTCAAACTGGAGCCAGTCTAACGTCTCCTGAACCAAACCAGCTTTATAAAGTACTTTTAAAAAAGCAAGACTGACAAAAAGGCTCATGATGCCATGCAATATAGCAAGGTTCCCAGGTCCTCTGGAAGACAAACAGACCCACAGCATCATAGATATCTCATCATACCTAACAGTGGAAACCAGGATTTTCTCCACATCAAAACTATGGCCCCTTTGATTTTGTTAAAATATTTACTTCCTAAGGTATATTTTTCCCTTATGAATAAATCTACTCAAGGATGAATTTTCCAATTATTATTATTATTCTGTTGCGATACAAATGTGTATATTTAAAGGCTTTTGTCAAGTCTTTACTAGTGCCTATAAATGTTTTATTTAAATATTTTACATTAAATAATAAATTTATTAGAAGGACAACAAAAGCCGCAATGTAGAAACAGCTCAGGATGAAAGAACGAATGGTTTCGACTATAGAGATGAGCCAATGGCCGTCCTGTTATGTTTGTCATCACCAGTCCAATAGGAAGATGTTCCAATTAGCTCTTTAGGGGAAATGAAGAATCTTCTTCACATTTTTCATTAACCTCAACCGCAACAATAAATATCACTTTTTTATGCTTTTATAAGGTAAAGAATCACAGATAGAAACCATCTTTATCTGGGTTATATAGTTTATTTTTAGGGGAAAATATCTAATTTTATTAGGATTCTTGAGCTAAAGGGGAGATAAACAGCAGTAATCAACAAATAACTGGGTTTTTGTCCCAGTGGCTGTGGGCGGACTGTCACTTCAGAGCTGAAGAATGATGGTGAAGCTGCACCAATCACAAAACAATTTCTCTCACTGTTTTGATGAGTCTTATCCTGTCTAATGATTGCTTTGTAGCATCGTGTTCAGATGCTGTTTGATTTTTTTTAATCAACATCTCTGATGATCTCTCTGGTCTTTCGGTCAAACCTTGTGATTATTCTCTGATTATGTCAAGCACACCTTTTGTGTCTGTCTCTCTTTTTCTGTTGGTCCTTCAAGGTCCGATTTGCAGAAGGCTCTCTGCTCGTTTGTGCACCTCCTGTCTGTGCATTCCTCTCCTCTCTCTGGGCAGTAAGTCTTGATGCAGTGTTGCATGTCGATGGCTATCGATTTCTTTCCACTCTGCTTTTCTGTGCCAGACTCACAGTATACTCAATACTACCTGTCATGGGAATGCAAGCCTGATGGCTGTTGTGTTGGTCATAAATAAAGGAGCGGAAACTGAATGTTTGTGTTTTAATTTTTAACAGGAATATTAAAATGTTTTTTTTTAGGGATTCATGCACTCCTTTTAAATATTCCTGCAACTTCTAGTTTCACAAATTTCCTCACAAAAATCAAATTGTTTCTGCTTGTAGAGGAGAAGATGCCTCTTCAAAGAAGCCTTGATTACACAACACAGCTTCGTGTCCAAAAGCAAAAAAAAAAAAGAAACGAGCTACAGATGGAGAGCAGGAGGAGTTAAAAGAAGAGAGGCTGTGAGGTGATGAAGAGAACAGGAGGCGAGTCTTTATCTGAAGAGATGATGCAGATTGGGGAAAGCAGTGGGAGAGCCTCGAGAGAAGATGAAAGCTAAAAGGTGTTTAACTTGAATAAATCACTGCCTGCCTAATTGTGAGGAAGCATAATTACAGTGCTGTCCACCAGGCTGTCAACCTCTGCATTAATGCAAAATTAGGGGGAGGAGGACAAGCAGTTAAATCAAAAGTGATTTTTTTTTTTTTTTTACTGAAAACTTTGAACACATGAGATGTTTTGGAAATATTTGCTTCCTACAGGGGCGGACTCAGTGTTTTCAGAACTTTGCATAATAGATGGGTTGCAACTTTTTAAAGACGCGTGTCAGACAAGTGGACAGCCCAGCTTGACAAAGGCCAGTAATACAAGGTAAAACACACCAAATCCAACAAAGCTTAGAAGAGCTGTTTCACTTCTAAAAACACACTGAGATGGAGGCAGCCATATCCAAGAAAACCCCTAACACACAAAATCGTCTATCCTGGCCAGGGGTCTGCAACCTGAAGCTCAAAATTATAAAGAGCTAGTTCAGATTTTAGATATAGATATAATAACAAATGCTGTTTTTTTCTAAAGGGGGATAATGTATGTAAATGACATGGAATCTGCCTGTAAGGTTTGACTGAATTCACTTTTTTTGTGACATATTGAAACAACCTGAAGCGTAAACGGGCGTTACATGAATTAACTGAATTGTACTGTAGATTTGTGGCTCTAAATAAGATTTATTAAGTTGGAAGAGGGACAAATCGCTCTTTGGAGTTAAAGTTAAATACTATTATGTATGCAGTCTAACACAGGAAAGAATGTGTTGAATGTAGCCAAACATTTCAAACAAGACAGCTTCAAACTAAGCCATACATTTACATAACATAAATACATATCTACACATACAAATCTTTAAGAAGGCAGTGAGACAGTCAAGTCTGTCAAAGGACTGAGCCTATCTAGGAAACTTTACATATTTGGTCTCTGATTTAGTTACTACTTAAAAGAAGGGATGAAGTGAAGGATGATGCATCAACTTGAATATGGGGGGCCATTGTTAGCTTTGTTGAAGCAACAGCTTTCATATACCATTCATGTACACTAAATGTTCCATTAGATCTGATATTAATATTAAACTCCTGCCTCACCCCCTCCTTCTCCACTGCTCACCCAGGGACTGGTGACTGGTTTGCTCCTGGGGTGTAACCTTGTCTTTCTATCTTTCCATGTGTTTAGATCATTTCCAACTGTTTAATATATGGTATCTATACAATTCTTGATAATTTTCACATTTATCAACTTTTTAATACACATTGTTTTAACCTTTTTTTTAGAGTTAGTTTTGTTTAATTTATACTAATTTGACACAAAATGGTGTTGATTATTTATTTTTATTTTTTTTGCTTCTGCTGCTGTAGGGCCATTGCAATTAAATTTCTCCAGATATGTATTTGAAAATTGGGACTTCAAATAATATTCAATAACAAACTAAATCTGCGTATAAGTTATAAGGTCTATGTCAGGTACAATGACAAAAGAGCATCTTAAATCAAAAGAAGAAAATGCAAAAAAGGTTAAAGAAATGAGGGTAGTTTAAAGGTTTTACACAGTGCTGGTTATTCTAAATATTTTTCAGGTTTCCAAATCTGTCAAAATAAAACATATAAAGGAAATATTTCTATATTCTACTCTTTTTTCGTTTTTTTTGTTTTTTCCTTTACTGATTACCCTTTTAGGCTTCCATAATCAGTAATTTTCCTGCTAATTTTGAGTTGCTTTTTTCTGAATTAGTAGATATTTTTGAAATAGATCAGCAGGGCTTGGATTAGCACGAAATGAACAAGCATTGAGATTGATGCCAAGAGAGACAAGTGAGAAAAAACAAAGGATGAGAGGCAAAACAAAGATGGGACAGAAGAGATGGGCAAGACTGGCTGAGGAGAACAGAAGCAGAGAAAGTCTAATCCAGGACTCATGCTCTAAGCTCCTCTATCATTTCTGCCTTGGCTTTGAAGCAGATGATGATGAGGAGGATGATTCATATCTCACAGATCCTTCCGGTTTGCATCGCCACTAATCATCTGTGCGTGCAATCAGGTTGTGGGGACATGAATCTGTTGACTCACTCGCTGATTTGCTTCCTGTTTTGGGAAGCATTCAAGCAAATCAGTTGTTTTTGAAATGATTTGTTTAAAGTCAGACTTAAATTTCAGGAAATTTATGTGAATTAAGTCAATGACTTTTGACTAGAGGGAAACAGAATGTGTGTGTATGTGTGGGTGTATGTGTGTGTGTGTGTGTGTGTGTGTATGTATAACAATCCCTGCATGTGTCCGGCTTCAGGCGAGCTGATGAAACGAGGTCAGAGAATTGCAGTGAGAGTCTCCAACCACAATGCACAATGAGTCACTGGTGTGTTTATCTGGTTTTCACTGATCACAGGTAGCACAGTGACACATCAGTTACATCAACACATGTGACTACACGAACGAGGGCACATCAGCTGGCTAAAGCACAAATAAATTCCGGATATACTGTAACATCAGGCACATGGACAGCAGACTAATTTCTATCGGCTGTAGGATTCTGATTCTGACACAACCTTTACCTCCAACCATCCCTGCTTACTGACATGTTGGTATGAGGATGGAGAAAAGCTCAATAGCAGCCTTTGAGTAACATTAGGATCACATGCAGTCTGGAAGAAGTTAGCAAGATCCTCCTTGAACCAATTTTCCAGCAGTTATCCTGTGACTGTTTCACCTCTCAGGGTTTCTCCTGGAGTTCCACAAGGAAATACCCTGCTGCTCTGTTCTGGGATACTCATATTGAGGCTCTACTGCACTGCAGGAATCTGGGTTAGATGTTGCACTTGGTGTGTGTGTGTGTCTGAAAGAGCAGTGATAAGACAGCCTAAAAGTGTATGGAGGTCTGAGTTATTCTTGAGGGGGAAGTTATGATCTGATTTTCATTCTTCAAGTCAGTCAATTGAGTTCATTAGTGCTGAAAACTTCATTCAGTTTTTAAAAAATAGCTGGTAGAAGGCAAACAAACCCCTCAATGTTTGTTTGCCATATAAATCCAATTGCACTGGATTTATTTTAGATGCATTCAGCATGCTGAGGTGAGTGAACCGTTATCAGTGCATAATGTAGAATTGGATTAGGAAGAATTATTATCAAGACTCAAGAGTCTCTATTTTCAACATGTAACAGTAAAGACATTTTGCTGAGACATGGGCTTAAAATGTTGCCTTGCAAGAAAGATGATTATTGCTAAAGCATTAGTCTCAATACGTTATTTTTTGAACCAATGAAATGCAGTGACATATATGCCATTAACCAGAAGCGGAACCCCACTATTCAGTCTGTTTTAGATGGAACACCCTCTAT